TATTTAGGGGCTTTGTGCTGGAGTTTATTAAGTATGATAATCTGGATGCAAACATAACTTATTAGACAATTTTGATTCATATCAACACACACAATAGCTAAATGCCAATACCAATCACTGAAAAACAAAACAAAATAAAAAAGCATGGCATATACTGAGTCACAGAACCACACAAACAGAATTCACCTAGTCCAACCAGCCAGATTGCTCAAGATGTTGTCCAGTCAATAAAGCAAATGGAGTTTTCACCACCTGTCTGGGCTGCTGAAGTACTCTCATAACAAACATTCTCATCCTTGTACCCAGCTCTGTTTCACCTTACGACCCTCATTCTCCCACTGTGCACCTCAGTAAAGAGCACCTTTCTGCTATGCACCTCCATCCTCTTGGTAACTCTCTCTTAGGTACTGGAGACTGCAGAGCTAGTCATTACATTACAGAAGGCAATCCCATGGAAGAAAAACGATTTACCTTTATTAAAGCTGGCAAACACTTTCTTCACATGTACAGGAATAACTTCCAAGCAGACTCGCTCCATCATTTTCCCAGGGATGGTGGTTGACCAACCTGCAGTACCCCAGACCTTCCTTCTTGTTCTTCTTGAAAATAAGTACAACATTAAACTTTCTCCAGTTATTGCGGACCTCCTCCATTCTACCCATTCTTTCAAAGATGACAGAGAGAAGCCTGACAATAATGTCAGTCAGGTTTTCAGTACCCTCAGGAGGTCTCCTGCCTAGATCCATCAACTTGCATGGGTCAACATTCCTCAGAAGATCCCTGGCTCAATGCTCTTCCACCTGCCAGTTTCCTCCATGAACCCCATCTGTGAGATCAGAGGCCTGTGAGATCTTATTTATGAAGACCAAGACAAGGAAGTCATGGAGCACCTCAGCCTTATCAGAGTCTGCTGTGACTAAATCACCTGCCCCACTTAGCACTGGGCCTATATTTTCCACAAACATTTATTGCTTCTCTCCCTCACACTCTTCCAGTATCTTACCCCTTTGCCTCCTCAACACCCCGTTGTTGCCCACCTTCTCTTCAACACATTTTCCTCCCAGATGCCTTAAGCTTTTCGCAGAGCTTCTGTTGCTACCATCTAAACCCTTCCAACACCCCAGACACTTCTGCCTCTGGCCACATAGAAGCACCCTCATGCAGAATCAAAGATAATATGTCTGGCAAAGCTTGCCTGTTCCTCTGGTGTTTTCACCTACGTTTGCTCCTATAGTTTTTGGTACCTATTTCTTAGAGGTTCAAAGTGACATTTTAAAAATAAAGGATCACTGAAATGACAAATGACACTGGTTATAATATGTTCAGTACAAATACAAATCATGTATTTGCTTAGATTATTAATCACCTGATTGCAACTAACTCTTGGAAAAAAAGATATTCTTAGTGCTTGGTCTTTGAGTTCATGCTGCTATCCACTGCTGTACAGCCATTTGACACTGTTTATGGTTAAGATAAATGCATTAATTCTAGAAATTACCTTGCTTTTAAAACTGTGTAATGACTTTGCTGAACAAAGGCTCAAAGATTTTCTTTTAAGTCAGCACACATCCGAAGGCCAAATAAATGCATCTGTATACAGTGCAAACAAAAGTTAAAGTCAAGAAACTACGAACCAAAGGCTAAGCAACAGCTATGGAGCCCAGTCTGTGTGGTAACTAGCGTCAAGCACAAGGCGCTAATCATTTATATTTGTAATTGCTTATGGTGTTACTCATTAAAGGTTTATAATACTTTACTTCTACTCAAGACAGACATATGTGCAGGGGAAAACAAACACACAGATAGCCAAATCCATACCACAGGATCAAAAATAATGAAGAATTCCTAATACACTTTAGTTTCCTTTGGAATTTTAATTAGATTGAAAAAAAAGGAATGCAGGAAGGGAGTTCAAGGACTATTTTTCATAGCAACAATTATTCAAGGTGTAGCCTCTCCTCTATTATATCTTCTCAAGAAAGCCATTTTTTATAGCTCATCCATTTTTAATTTGATAAAGCCTCTATGTTCTGTTCTCCCTTTTCATTTGACTGCTGCTTCTTCTCATAAATGTTCATTTCCTAGCAGCTATAGCACAATGAACAGAAAAGCAAACCACCATTCATCTGAACAAAAGACACTCCCACACAGCGAAGAATCTATGTCTGGGAGCCCTGCTGTAGAAAAACACATGCCCACAGTTATTCAAAGATTCCACTTCAGCCGCAGTGCAATGCACTGGCAGGCATGAATAGCCTTTCTTTCACCTTGTTTATTCAAGAACTATGATCCACTACAGCCTGCTTTCAAGCATTTGATATCCTACACTGAGGAGATTAAATAAACCCACCGCCAAATGAAAAACTTCACCCACGCTGTTAATTTTTTGTAAACTTATGAAACCAAAATCTGAAGGTCTTGTCCTTAGAGACTAAAAGGCCTTTGCTCTAGGATTTTACATTTATTGTGCTTGCAAAGTCAATCCTATCTCTGACAGAAACTGATTTCTTGATAGGTTCTCTCCTGCTTTGAGTGCATTTGAAAGCAAAACACCCATCTCTCTAATTTCCATACAGCTCCTCATGTAATTAATCAAATATACAATCTAAACTGACTTCCTTTCCAAGCGCATTATTGTGAATTAGTCATTCGTGGGAGAAAATCATAAAGAGAAACAAGGCTTTATTTTACATCTTGTTTCACATGAGTCCTTTGTACTGAGAAGGTAGAAGATGGGCTATAATAATACAGCATTTAATTAAGTAAATATGTACAGAGGTGCACACAGAGAGCATATGGGTGTGCTCTCATTTCTCATGCCTCCAGTGAAAGAGGTCATGACCCTTTAGACTTTAACCTCATCACTTCTAATTTTTCATCGTGGTTCTCAGCAGAGAAATTTAACCCATCTGGTTTTCAATTTTATGAGGTCATGAGCCATGAAAGAAAATCTGGCTTTAAAAAAAAAAAAGGAGATATATAATCCTCTCTCAGTGTAAGAGAGTAGATTACGCAGATGTTTCTGTTAGGTCAGGACAAACTTACAAGAGAAAAAAAAACCTCTACACATTCATATGTCTACTACTGGGTATTTCATTTGAGTTGTACTTACACATCTCTAGTCTGTCTCTCAGAATAATACATAATGGTCAACCTTAAATTCCTGCCTACACAAAGCTGGGAAAATCCTGCCTTTGATGTCATCACTGGGATATTTAGCCTAGTGCCGCAATGAGGCAATAATTTCATCAGAAGTGACGGTTACATTTCCTACTACACCAGGGCAAAACCAAACGTCCCAGCCTCTCCTCTGCTCTACAGCAATATCAGGCAATACAACCAGAGAGAGGTCAACCTACATCTGAGAAGGACATTTCATCGCTCACACCTCCAGCAAGGCATTGAACAGTGCTGGTGAAAGGTGGTATTTTTTGTTTTCTTAAAAACACAGCTGAAAAGTTTGCAGCCTCTCTCTCCCCAGCCACAAAAATCACAGAGCTTCAGTTAACTCCCCCTCGCCCCACAACCCCACACCATATGAAACATTTTACATACAAAAGAGTTTGTAAGATCATCTACAGAGTTTTCAGTATCCACCAAAGCTAGAGCAACATCATCACAATCTCCTGAAGGACTTATAATATGGCAATACTTGGCAGTCAGGTAAGTTCATAGTGTTTTATAAATAAAAATGATAGAACGAAACTAGTCATCTCTAACAGCACAGCACCTTCAATAGAGGACTAACTCATATTTCACTACAAAAGCACCTAATGATTCACCTGTTTCAGCTATTTA